CATACTCATAACTTTATAGCCACTAATAACACAACCGATGGCGATAGAATGTTTCTGACTGGAATTTCCGTCAGGAATATATTGATACAAATTCCTGAATCACATTTTTTATCTACAATATTTGCATTAACACCAATGACGAATACTGATGGACAATGAATTTGTGAATAATTTCCCAAAGGTCATAAATAAACTGCCACCTAAGCCATTTCTGTCTTTGCATCTCGCATAGTGGACTACTTATGACGACCCTCATATTCCATTTAACACCCTGCAGGAGAGACAGCTCACACTCACAAGCTGTAAAATAATTGAAAGTCATAACGTATTGAAATTATTTTGTTTTGTTACAGGGATTCCAGTTGATGAAAACAGAAGGACAAGGACATTATAAACTACGGTAAGAAATTTACTAAATCATGTTGATGGATTAATAAACTTTATTGATGTCTTATAGGACAGTCTGTGTTCTGAAATTTCCGTGTTTTGACTTCTGCGGGTAAATACCACAGAATGCAAAATATCCTGATTATGAATGTGTGTCTATGCGCTATTAGGTTGAAAGTTGTTCTACGCAATATGTTTTATGTTTTTAATCTGAATTTTTATTCTTATACCACTACATGCTTTTACTTTGACTGGTAATTTACAAGTGGTTCTATGTAAGTGGACAAAAATAGTAGCTATGAAAATTAAATTGTTTATGCATTTTGGTCTGATAATATTTCGTGTGTCGCATTAATAAGCACTAAAACCTTAATAAGAAATTTGTACTGTTGACGGACTGTCAATTTAAATATTAGTGTGTAACAGATTGCATTATTTTAATATTGTGCCAATATGATTTATTACAGGCCTCAATTTGCACTCGATGTAGACCTTCAAGAGTTGAAATCGGGACCATGCATGGGACACCAGGGCAGAACGGGAAACTTAATCTTTGGAGGCACGTAGAAGGGACAATAATAAAGATAATCTGATGGAGGAACGTTGTATGTGTTTATTGTCTATTTGAAATTTATAATGAATTATTAGTTTAGTTTTAAGAGTTACAGTTTCTTTAAATATTAAAATCTTTACAAGAAAGTAACCTACCCCATTTTGCCCTGAACCCGGGGCAAGACGGGGTGTGGTTGATATGTATTTTAAAAGTTGTAAGAAGATTATCTAATAAATATGACGTAGAATATAAAAATGATTTAGTATACAATGCAAAATGTCGAAACTTTACGCATTCGAAATACACTTAGGCCTAATGCAGACGACACACATGCGCACCTCTTCATCATCGTGACTATCAACACCTGCAGATGAGTTATGGGCCCATTTAAAGCAACACGAATACCGGATCCACCCTTCAATAGACTGCGGATAGACATCGCCACAATACATGCAATTCTCATTTTATCCTCTTCTCTGGGTACCCCATTCAGCCCTATCCCATCCTGCCCAGAGTTTACTCTTTCAAATTAGGATTGCCCCAACAAAAATTACAGCATAAAAATAAATAAAATTATTTTGCATAAGACTTTCAAGACAACACCTTGTAACATGCAGAATTCAACAAATTCAATTCAATTCAATTAATTTATTTACGTGTTTGCCAACAGCAAGAAGACAATAACAGGTAGACACTGATAATACATACAATAATAATGAAATATATTACATAAACAGATTAATTAAACTTATACATGTACAGTATTAAATATAACAGCCAAGTACAGGGAAGCCCAAAAAAGAAACAATATTAAACACAAAGCAAAATATATGAAGAAATATAAATAAAAACAAATAATCGCTCGCGTGGTGTCCATACTGAAACCGGGGAAGGACCCCACGCTACCTTCTTCCTATAGACCCATCAGTCTTCTCGACACGGTCGGCAAGCTCTGCGAGAAGATCCTCCTAACGAGGGTCCTACACGAGGTCAGCGAACGCGGGCTGCTGCGCGACGAGCAGTTTGGGTTTCGACCCAGACACAGCACGTCGTTGCAGCTGGCTCGCCTCGTCGAAAGGGTCAACAGAAACCTTGATGAAACCATGGGTTTTACGTGAATACGTCTGCGTTAGCGGGTAATATTTTCTTTGGGATATGGGAATGAAATGAAGGTAACGAAATGGATATATGGCTTTTATTTAGCATAAGAAATATACAGAGTCTTAGCTAGTAATCGATGACAATTTTGATTAGCATTGGTCTATAGTAAGATAAGTAAGACACGAAAGGCATAACTGAGTGTGAGCCCAGTGTTGTAGGCGTCGTTGGCACATACTGCAGACGGAACTCGCGTTGCATGAATTCAACCAGAGACTGGTTGCGTCGTACGTCGATATTGAAGTCCCCCGTTTAAACGATTGAAGTTTCCGTATCGGGTTCGAAGTTGGGAAGGAATTTCTTAACGCTCTCCGAATATTGCATGAGCGATCGATACAGACAGAATTCAACATCAGAGACCGCCCTTTCCGATGAGGTACGTTGCTTATATTTCCGCTGGGCTTTTCGGTGAGTATGGGCCGACATCAGAAAGTTTAAATTTTTCACGAATTATTTTTGATTTGTCACCAACAAATATTTTACAATGTTTACTTTTTAAATCTATAGATCTAGATGAGATCTTTCGTTTGGCACAAAACAAACCTTGATGAAACCATGGGTTTTACGTGAATACGTCTGCGTTAGCGGGTAATATTTTCTTTGGGATATGGGAATGAAATGAAGGTAACGAAATGGATATATGGCTTTTATTTAGCATAAGAAATATACAGAGTCTTAGCTAGTAATCGATGACAATTTTGATTAGCATTGGTCTATAGTAAGATAAGTAAGACACGAAAGGCATAACTGAGTGTGAGCCCAGTGTTGTAGGCGTCGTTGGCACATACTGCAGACGGAACTCGCGTTGCATGAATTCAACCAGAGACTGGTTGCGTCGTACGTCGATATTGAAGTCCCCCGTTTAAACGATTGAAGTTTCCGTATCGGGTTCGAAGTTGGGAAGGAATTTCTTAACGCTCTCCGAATATTGCATGAGCGATCGATACAGACAGAATTCAACATCAGAGACCGCCCTTTCCGATGAGGTACGTTGCTTATATTTCCGCTGGGCTTTTCGGTGAGTATGGGCCGACATCAGAAAGTTTAAATTTTTCACGAATTATTTTTGATTTGTCACCAACAAATATTTTACAATGTTTACTTTTTAAATCTATAGATCTAGATGAGATCTTTCGTTTGGCACAAAACCAGCGCGCTAGCACATCGGAGTCGCGAGATATACTGCCCGGAAATTTTCGCTCACGCCCAAAATATCCGCCAGTCGCCGCGGGCCCCCACCCGCGCCTCGCGCATGCGCGGCGCCAACTAAAGATAATGCTCGCATCGTTCTTAGCTAGTAATCGATGACAATTTTGATTAGCATTGGTCTATAGTAAGATTTTTACAAAGTTTTAATGGCTTAAATCCACAGATCTAGACGTGATCTTTCGTTTGGCACCAAAATCAGCGCGCTAGCACATCGGAGTCGCGAGATATACTGCCCGGAAATTTTCGCTCACGCCCAAAATATCCGCCAGTCGCCGCGGGCCCCCACCCGCGCCTCGCGCATGCGCGGCGCCAACTAAAGATAATGCTCGCATCGTAGTCGTGTACCCGATCGAACGAGACCACATTTATTTCAGTCGTGTTATTAGTCACGAAGATAAGTAAGACACGAAAGGCATAACTGAGTGTGAGCCCAGTGTTGTAGGCGTCGTTGGCACATACTGCAGACGGAACTCGCGTTGCATGAATTCAACCAGAGACTGGTTGCGTCGTACGTCGATATTGAAGTCCCCCGTTTAAACGATTGAAGTTTCCGTATCGGGTTCGAAGTTGGGAAGGAATTTCTTAACGCTCTCCGAATATTGCATGAGCGATCGATACAGACAGAATTCAACATCAGAGACCGCCCTTTCCGATGAGGTACGTTGCTTATATTTCCGCTGGGCTTTTCGGTGAGTATGGGCCGACATCAGAAAGTTTAAATTTTTCACGAATTATTTTTGATTTGTCACCAACAAATATTTTACAATGTTTACTTTTTAAATCTATAGATCTAGATGAGATCTTTCGTTTGGCACAAAACCAGCGCGCTAGCACATCGGAGTCGCGAGATATACTGCCCGGAAATTTTCGCTCACGCCCAAAATATCCGCCAGTCGCCGCGGGCCCCCACCCGCGCCTCGCGCATGCGCGGCGCCAACTAAAGATAATGCTCGCATCGTAGTCGTGTACCCGATCGAACGAGACCACATTTATTTCAGTCGTGTTATTAGTCACGAAGGATCACCCTGCAAACGTTACATCGCCGTTTCCGTCCTGGTACCCCATATGTCGGTCTGATTTTAAAGACGTATTCACGTCAAAATCAGTGACGAACAAAAATAAAATGTCATGGGAGGAGAATTAGGAGGTGGCATGTGTTTAAGTCCAGTCAATTCTTGGAATTGGAAAGGGAGGGAATCCAGAGACTGGTTGCGTCGTACGTCGATATTGAAGTCCCCCGTTTAAACGATTGAAGTTTCCGTATCGGGTTCGAAGTTGGGAAGGAATTTCTTAACGCTCTCCGAATATTGCATGAGCGATCGATACAGACAGAATTCAACATCAGAGACCGCCCTTTCCGATGAGGTACGTTGCTTATATTTCCGCTGGGCTTTTCGGTGAGTATGGGCCGACATCAGAAAGTTTAAATTTTTCACGAATTATTTTTGATTTGTCACCAACAAATATTTTACAATGTTTACTTTTTAAATCTATAGATCTAGATGAGATCTTTCGTTTGGCACAAAACCAGCGCGCTAGCACATCGGAGTCGCGAGATATACTGCCCGGAAATTTTCGCTCACGCCCAAAATATCCGCCAGTCGCCGCGGGCCCCCACCCGCGCCTCGCGCATGCGCGGCGCCAACTAAAGATAATGCTCGCATCGTAGTCGTGTACCCGATCGAACGAGACCACATTTATTTCAGTCGTGTTATTAGTCACGAAGGATCACCCTGCAAACGTTACATCGCCGTTTCCGTCCTGGTACCCCATATGTCGGTCTGATTTTAAAGACGTATTCACGTCAAAATCAGTGACGAACAAAAATAAAATGTCATGGGAGGAGAATTAGGAGGTGGCATGTGTTTAAGTCCAGTCAATTCTTGGAATTGGAAAGGGAGGGAATGAGGTTGCTCAGGTGACAGAATCTCCCTGTAGTCGTCATCATTCATGTCATCCTCTTCACTGTAGTACATGATGTGCGCAGGTGGGCCTGTTGTTTCTCGATCACTTTCAGTGTAATCGTAGTCACCTTCAGGAACAAAGTCACTATCACTATCTATAATACCTAAATAATCCAAAATATCTATGTCATCCATCCATGAAGTGGGACCAGTCATTGCCCAGGCGAAAATTCTGAAAACAAAACACTTATATATACAGTAAAACCTCTCTAACTTGAAAGCTTGCGGTTCCAGGATAATGTGTCCAACTTACAGAGGTGTCCAGGAAGGAGGAAAAGGAGAAAATTATCCTTTCAAATTGATGTGTAATGACAATGCGGTAATTGTAATGTATTATGGAGCCCTTCCCCAAAAGGAAATTATTAATAAGAAAAACCGAAAGGGTGAATTAAATTTTTACAAATTTTGTTTTCATTAAATTAAACTTGCATGGATAAGCTCAAAGGGAAGGGCACCGATACCTTACGTTTACCGACAATGTAATCTATTTACTTACATAATCTAACTATTGTAGGCTTGCTCAAATTAAGAATTAATGACAATAATAATAATCTTTTGAAACCCACTCTCATGGTTGCACATTACACCCCAGCCTCAATGAAATTTTAAATGTTCAGAATGTATTTTTTTAACTATGCTTACAGCATGCATGCACCTTTACAAACTAACAACAAAAGGGGTGTTCAATATATAGGGTATTGTGGATATGTAAAATTATAGGATATTCGCCGGTTGCAATTAAAAGTGCCGAATGTAGAGGGGTGTCCAGGATATAGAGATGTCCAACTTCAGGAGTTTTGCTGTATAATAAAGTAAAGAAAACAACGAAAATTACAATAAACACCCTAAAAATTTAAATAAAAACAAAATTAGGAAACAAAACACTTATCTTAGCAAATAATAAAGCGAAAAATAAGAGCCAAATTCCTCAGGATAATACGAAGTCAACTTATGAACTCAAAGTATTTAATTTGTTATTCGAAAGATATTTTTGTTGGCCTACAGGAGCTATCTGTTAAGGAAAACATGAACAAAATTTTAAAATATCTGATACAAACTTGTATTGCCATCTGAGAGCCTTGTATGTAATTAAACATCAGATTTAATCAGGGCTGTCGGATTTTCGCTCTGATCGTTTCAGCCACTACTGCTTCGGCCGGCGGAACGGCCGGTTGAACCATTAAGAGTAACTACTTATATCAGAATCTCATCTCGTGTCTTATTATGTACTCTTAAAATGTTTATCTGCGATTCTTCTGTGTACAGACATTAAAATTTATATAAAATGAAGAAATTGTGCATATGAAAATCAATATGAACACAATTTATGTATAATTCCAAACTATGAAAGTGATTCAGATCTGACCTGGAATTTTTATCAGTGCATGTCAACATATAATTTTACCAATTTTTTATTTTTTCGTTATCAGGACAAGTGTATAGTTCCTGGAAACTTTCTAGCTCGTTCAACCATCCCTCTCCCGAAGCAATATGTCCACCACTTCTCCCCACATTTTCACTTTGCTTCTGCTATCTTTCTTAATTCTGTCTCTGTGAACTAATTGCGTTACATTTGGTTCCTTAATAGAAAAAAAGCTGTAGTTTTTATTTTACGTACTGTTCTACAAATTATAAGTTAAACATGTACCACTTGGATGATAAAATATGAAATACCTTGCCTCATCTATGGTGTTATTTTGGTTTCCAAATAAAATTAAACCTAGGATTATACAAAGCACCATATACTGAAAATTATCTAAAATATTTTTACTATCCATTCATACAATCCATGGTTTGATTTCACTTCTCTTGTGATGGCATGTTTTGGGTTATAGCCTCATCTTCAGGGCATCACCACCTTCTTTGTATTACTATAATAATAATAATAATAATAATAATAATAATAATTTATTTACATTCCATGGATCCATAAGACAGTCAGATGGCAATAGGATGTGGAAAGAGCCATAATAATAATACAATACATATTATAAAGTACAATTCATAATATTATATACATTTCACATAATACGAAACAAAGGGTTCAACTAAAGAAACTGTAAGCTACAAATTGATGTGCCCATTACATATAAAAGAAAATTTTTCACTTATTTGTAAACATCATAAATTCATTGACAGAGTAAAAGGAGTGTGTAATTAAGTATCTTTTTAATGCTACTTTAAATTTCTCCTTCTTATTTACAAGACTTGTGAGATTTGATGGTAGACTGTTGAAAATTTTGATTCCTGCATAATATGCACTCTTCTGAAAGCATGAGAGGTTGGCAATTGGTCTATGAAGCTGATTTTTATTTCTTGTGTTGACATTGTGTACAGCAGAGTTAGTTTGAAAGAGTTCTTGGTTATTTACAATAAAGTTCATTAATGAGAATATGTATTTGGAAGGTAGAGCTAAGATCTCTAATCTCTTAAACAGACATCTACATGAATTTCTAGGTTTTACACCAGCCAATAATCTAACAATTTTATTTTGTTAAGTGAATATTTTTTTAGTGTTTGATGAATTACCCCCAAAAATTATTACACAATTCATTATAGCGTGTAAATAGGCAATATATACTGATCTGAGTGTGTCAGTGTTGCTGACATGCAACAGACATCTAACTGCATAACATGCTCCACTTAACTTAGGTATCACATGTAGATCAGAAATCAATACGCAATTCTCAGTGTGTTGCCTTCATAATGAGGTTTTTGTAAATGACGTTCATGAAGCAAAACATTTAATCTTCCCCTAATACCATGAAGGTTTCGTAACTCGAAACATGTCGCCACATGTGGATTTTTTAATACAAGACGTAAGGTGAAACTGCTGTGTGTTCATGGATGGTAATACTCTAGATAAAATTAAAAGTCTGTAAAATAATTAATTACAATAAGACTTATTGAGCAGAAAATAACGAGGAGAAATAATATTTCCTTCTTTGCTGCAAATAATATTTCTCTTTATTTTTTTTGTAGTTCCTACATCAATTCAAATTCGTACATTATTTTCATAAGAAAAGTAATTAAATTTAATGTATCCGTCCTGGTTGTAATCAACTGCAGACTACTGAGTTTCCCAATCCAACATTTTTTTACGTTTCTAAGCACCTAGCACTTAAACGACCCGTTCTTCAGCTTGCGCGCGGGCCCGGGTCATTTAAGTGCTAACTTCTAAGTGCTAAGAAACATAATAAAACGTCCGAACAGGCAACCAATCGGATTAAGTTTTAGGAGTAATCGCTTGCATTCGGTAGGTTCTTGATGACACAAGTTGACATCAGGGTTCTACGAACATTTACGTTTGTCACCGGATTCCTGCAATTTCAAATATTAGAAATTAGAACAACCAATCTTTAATCATCCATCAGTATTATCTACACTCAAGACAATTTTTATCACATTTCACTGACACAGTTACAGAAAATATGTAACTCAACATAAGATGATGTAACTCACGAAGGAATGCGTCTTCTACCATAAATAATTTATTTAATATAAATTAATAGAAATGTGCATTTATGTAAAGTAATATAATTTTTCTTTTTGGGTTCTAAAATATCAGAGATTTCTGTGTAGAATAAGTATAAAATAATTATCTTTATGAGTCGTAAAATGTGTTGCCCTAAAAATATCCATGTCTGATGGGCTGGCTCTGTCTTTGGGTAGAATGGAAAACTGCTTTAAGGTAAGGAAACAGGCTTCCACCGAAATGTCGTTGATTATAATTTGTTTCCAGACAATCTTAACAAAAACTCCTCCAATCGGAATGCAATGTACGATTGCCACACCATATTTCAGAACAGTTCACACGTGATTTTTTTTTTCACTCATGCACATAGAACCCCGGCCACCGTGCTATTATAACGTAATACAATTTCATTACATCAAAGTGGAGGGAGAGATTATGAATATTTTAAAACGCTGTCAAATGGCTTATTTTCTGCGCTAACTAAGTTTGGTACACTTCATTAGGCCATTACCTTAGGTCATAATAATAAATTTCATCACACACTTTCTTTGGAGAGATAAGCGTGTCTTGTTTGAGACGTGCGCCCATGAAATTATTTCCTTCTTTTGGCAATATATTTTCAAAACTTTTTCGTCCCACCACAAATAGTTCATGATAGGTTGTGCTGGACGTAAAACAGACAAAAACCAAAATCAAATGAATTGCTGTGGGATTCCTGGATCCTCAACAGTCGAGTATGAAGAAAGTTGTCTTCTGGGATCTTTTTGGAGCTGCTTACTCACTCCGTCAACAGATGGCAGGAGACTGCATGGTCAAACACGCCAAGAGACAGACTTTTCCAAATAAACACTAATCAAAAATGGGAACATGAAACGGATAGGCGTCGTTAAACCTGAAACTGGCCTGACACTTTTATAAAAGCCGAAGATTATGGCGATGCTGATATACTGAACGCCAGAAACATCCTGCCCAAGAGAGTGCCACTGATCAAAGAAACTTAGTCAAAGAGCTTTGAAGACGGACATAGAGTCCCATCTCCGAAACGTCGTTTTACGTTTTATATTTACTAGACGATGAATAATATCCAAGAAAAATTTTATTCAATTGTTTCTTATTAATGCAGTTATAATTTACTTCTGTTTAGAATTACCAAGTCATTTGCCCTCTGCTTTAACGATTCAGCTTGACCGCAACATAACTCTGCCTGCTTTCATTCTACCCCCTACTTATCACCCTCTTTTGCGCGCTACATTCAATGCCCTGAATAAGCAGTTAGAACCTCTGAAACGTCGGTCAGTTTCTACGACACTAGAAGTTGCAGCACCCGCAAGATCGCGGTTATGTCGACCGGAAATGATTCATTTCTAGTGCTTTTCGAAAGTAACAGTTTATGATTATATAGCCCTGAACAATCATACAAAGAAACAAACAAAGAAACAAACCATCGATTTTCCTTGTCATTGAAATATTTGACACCGAAGTTGTTCGCTTCGTAATATCCGCCGATGACGAAGATCTTATCGTTCATCACTTCTGCGTTTAAGTCACTTGAATAGGCGTCCATGCTAGGGAACTTAATCCACTTGTTTTCTGTAGGATCATACTTTTCGGTAGTGAGCTCGGATGATGTCGTGTTGTGTCCTCCTGCACATACACATCCACACATTCCGTAATAGCTCACAGTATATAAAAAACCTGCCAAACGAAACTTATTCTAACCCCATTCAGCGGGTCCCTTCTTGATATTTGTAACTCTGTCACATGGCCACGAAATATCCACAAGATCGCGGTTATGTCGACCGGAAATGATTCACTTCCTAGTGCTTTTAGAAAGTAACAGTTTGTGATTATACAGTCCTGAACAATCAAACAAAGAAACAAACCATCGATTTTCCTTGTCATTGAAACATTTGACACCGAAGTTGTTCGCTTCGTAATATCCGCCGATGACGAAGATCTTATCGTTCATCACTTCTGCGTTTAAGTCACTTGAATAGGCGTCCATGCTAGGGATCTTGGTCCACTTGTTTTCTGTAGGGTCATACTTTTCGGTACTGAGCTCGGATGATGTCGTGTTGTGTCCTCCTGCACATACACACCCATACATTCCGTAATAATTCACAGTATATAAAAAAAGCTGCCAAACGAAACTTATTCTAACCCCTTCTTGATATTTGTATCTCTGTCACATGGCCACGAAATGTTTGGCCTTTATAGAGCCACAAGATTCATTACCTTACTCACAAAAGTCGGCAGTTGAACTCTTCTCACATACTCTATTTTCTAATCTAGTTCCTTAAAACATTTTAATATTATCCTTCCTTTCAAGGCTATATATCACAAGTGGTATCTTTCCTTCAACATTACCAATTACAACTTTCTAGATGTTTGTATTTCTCATAACTTCAATGCTTCACACTCCGCTCGTCTTACCCCACGGACTTTACACTCTTAAAATTCGTAATTCCGTAAACGGAACGAATGAATGGAATACAACGAAGAAAATTCATTCCCTCTTGCAGTGTTAATATTAGTACGAGGAACGAAATAAAGGATGAAATAGCTACAACATTATTTTCGTACTTGTAGCATCTGGAAATTGCGCCTGACATCTGTTTTCTGCTTCATGAAACTGCGTGCGAAAATAACGACCAAGAATAGACACAAGATACACTGTTAAAAACGACGTTACACAAAAAAGTGAAGAAAAGCAAAGAATGCGAAGGGACTGCTTTAAACCATCGGCTTTTTGGGGGATAACAGCACGGCAAACTGAAATGTCCTTGCTACAACTGGGACTGTGACAAATGGGGCATACGTTACTTGAGATACCACAAGAGATTATGCGTTGTTAGTTAGTTAGTAAGTAAGTTAAGTGTTCTTTGTGGAGAATGTAATCGAAACCACGAATCAGGGTTAAAATTACTGACAAACTAACTCTGAAATGACAGGGGAAAAATGTTGTTCATAAAATCTCAGTGACTCGAAGAAAACCAGGAAAACATTTCACAATAGCAAGTTTTGTAAGAAAGATAGAGGGGCATCACTCAAAATGTTCAGAGTTCTCACCTAGAGCGTACAGACAGGCGTTGAAGGCGACGAAAGAAAAATTGGCACGTCCAGTAATCATTGGTGCAACGAACGTCCATCGGTTGGTGTCCGGGTGATAAACTTCCACCGAGTTTAGGACATTGCAACCATCACATCCACCAGCGAAGTATATTTTGTCTGTAAAAACAAATTAGCTACATGACACGAACTCTACACATATTTCATGTAGGCAGGGGCATTAAACTGGCCCTTTCGAAGCACAAACATGGGACAATCCGTACTTAAATTTGTAAATCTATTAATGATATTGTATTTAATGTCCCCCTTCGTGTCATAGCAACTGCACGGACACGGCTGTCTCTGTTCATCTGTTTCTTTGTTTCGAATGCAGACAATCAGCGTGTCAAAGAAAAAGAGTTTAACTGATAAAATTTAATATAAACAGCATAAAGTGCTTAAATTAGTGCATAATGGAAATGATGGTAAGTTACTACTTCTGTGAAATGAATTTTACCTTACTTTACCAGAGATGTATGGTACGAGCTACCAAGCTGTGCTCTAAATTTATAATATAATGTGCAATGTACAAGAGATTATTAACAGTCTCAAAACCATATTACATCTGTATTATATGAGAACAAGTTTGATAGTTTTATAGTTGTTTACACTCACTCCTAGTGTACACTACAAAGACAGAAGACGATGTACAGGGACAGTTTACAAGAGCAGAAGAAACCATCACGCACTCAGAACTTCAAGCCTTTGTAGCCATCTTCGTACTTTCCACCGAGACAACCTCAAATCCTCCGATTTCTTCAACCGTTCTTGCGTTGTTACACGCGGACAGACAGACAGACAGACTTCTGTACTAATCCACAAATTCCTATTTCACGGCATTTACGTACCATTCAGCACAGCAGCACATGCATTGGATCGCGCTGTATTCATGGGAGCGATCCACAACCACTGGTTTTTCTTGCTGTCGTATCTTTCAGCCGTTCTGTGATCCCGATGTTCATCGTATCCGCCCATGGCGTACACTGCACCTCGCAGAACTGCCACACTTAAATTGCGTCTGAAACGATAAAAGTACAGACTCTGCTGTGCTCATTTTTTGCTGATTATGATGCATTTCCTCTCGCAGAACGCAATTGTTCGCTCGTCATTGTTAAATCATAATTCAAATGAATTAACAAGCAAGTCGTATTCTTAAGACCAACATTGTCGCAAAAGTCCTCCTGTATGTAAGTGGTACAATTCATAGGCGCCACCTCGCGGCATGTCTTCGTAACAGCGTTGAAGCAGCAGCATGAGCATAAGTATTCTATGCCGCGGTAACCACCGATGACGTAAATGTCGAAACCGACCACTGCCGTGCCATGGTCCATTCGCGGACCGATCGAGTCGACCCCTTCCACCTGCAGGAACGACAGGTTATGGCTTTATGATTCTTTGGGTCATTTGGTCTGCTGATGTGAAGTCTTTACATTAGAGTTCAAGCGACCAACCACTGGAGCAGAGGAGCAACCCCCAACAGTGAACCGAAATTGCTACACCGTGGTGGGTGGCACTCGACAAAACCGTGAGAATTAACTTGGAGCAATGGTGGAATTATAAGAGGCGGAGGAAACAGGAAGACCCAAAGAGAAGCTCAAACATTGCCAGTGCTCTCGTCAAGTACGACAGACAAATGTAAGATTTTTGATCAACAGCTGACATTTCAGGTTCGTACGTTGGTAAAGGCAGATGTTGGGATTTTTGGTTCTATCGACGCAAAGCTGGAGGCAGTACGTCCCCCACCGCACCCCAAACAGTGTCCCTTCTAATTCTCGCGGCGTTACCACGCAGATGGCCAACATCGACACTGATCAATACTTCATTTATTACGTTGAAATCCACTGACGATCAACGATGATTTCGTTTTATGTTGAAAATCAGCAGACAGGTTGCCATGACAGTTAATGTAAATGGTATTTAAGGCAAATTTCATATCCTTCGTCGATTCCTATTAGAACTTGCATTGTACATGAGACTCGGCATTTGTGTAATTTATGAATTTATTCTTTTTAATTCATGTATTTGGAGCTTCACTGCAATGGAAATAAACGAACACAAAATAAAGAGGCAAGGAGGTGCTTGTAATTAAACTTAAATAAACAATTACTTGGTATAAATAAGCAAAAGGGTGCAAAAGTAGTTTTTCTCGGAGGCGTCATTTAACAAGGCACGGTAAGAGTAGAAATGCGTGCAACTCACCACACTCCATCGGTCTGTCTGTGCGTCGTACGCTTCGATCACATCTGACGGATTTCCGTCACGAAACCCACCAATAGCAAACAGAATGTCTTGTGGGATACTTGGTGTCACGAGTTCCTTGTCTTTCTTCGTCACCATTTCCGATTCGTCACATAACAGGTTTTTCCCTCTCAGCTCTTTCAGAGGGACCGATGCTTCAGTGCGCATGCCCCTGCTGCCGACTTGAAAACAGCTGCGACTTTGATTTGACTCCATTTCCTGAAAAACTGTCCAACGGTTGTTACAGGTTTTTCTTCATACTGACGCGTGTGCACATCAACTGAGAGTGACTGAGAGGGAACACGGTACTGAGAAGAGAATTTGGTCCTGCGCGAGAGTTACTGACAAAGGAATGGTGAAATTTGCGTAATATGGAGCTTTATAGATGTCACATCAAGGGTGATGAGATGGGCAAGACATGTAGTACACATGGCAGAGACAAGAAGTGCAACTTTTGACGTAGATACGTCTATATGGAAGGGTCAGTGTCATTCCGCAAAAAAGTATAATGATTCTTTTTAATTCATGTATTTGGAGCTTCACTGCAATGGAAATAAACGAACACAAAATAAAGAGGCAAGGAGGTGCTTGTAATTAAACTTAAATAAACAATTACTTGGTATAAATAAGCAAAAGTGTGGAAAAGTAGTTTTTCTCGGAGGCGTCATTTAACAAGGCACGGTAAGAGTAGAAATGCGTGCAACTCACCACACTCCATCGGTCTGTCTGTGCGTCGTACGCTTCGATCACATCTGACGGATTTCCGTCACGAAACCCACCAATAGCAAACAGAATGTCTTGTGGGATACTTGGTGTCACGAGTTCCTTGTCTTTCTTCGTCACCATTTCCGATTCGTCACATAACAGGTTTTTCCCTCTCAGCTCTTTCAGAGGGACCGATGCTTCAGTGCGCATGCCCCTGCTGCCGACTTGAAAACAGCTGCGACTTTGATTTGACTCCATTTCCTGAAAAACTGTCCAACGGTTGTTACAGGTTTTTCTTCATACTGACGCGTGTGCACATCAACTGAGAGTGACTGAGAGGGAACACGGTACTGAGAAGAGAATTTGGTCCTGCGCGAGAGTTACTGACAAAGGAATGGTGAAATTTGCGTAATATGGAGCTTTATAGATGTCACATCAAGGGTGATGAGATGGGCAAGACATGTAGTACACATGGCAGAGACAAGAAGTGCAACTTTTGACGTAGATACGTCTATATGGAAGGGTCAGTGTCATTCCGCAAAAAAGTATAATGAAAAAGTTGTCGGTGGAACCACGGTTCAGAAGAATTTGACGTAAATACGTCTATGCGGAAAGGAAGTTTATATATTGGCTTTATTCTAAATGTTCCCTTTATATATGCTTTACAATTGAGATAATTTTGATTAAGACATTGCTTATTAACTTGAATTAGTTACGCTTAAAATGGGTCTGTGGTAGCTGAAGGTAATGTAAGGTAAGGTAAGGTAAGGTAAGGGAAGGTAATGTAATGGAATGTAATGTAATGTAATGTAATGTAATGTAATGTAATGTAATGTAATGTAATGTAATGTAATGTAATTAAATGTAATATAACGTTTCCTAGGTAACAACAATGCCGAGTAAATAGAGGAAGTTTCCTAGATAACAACAATGCCGAATAAACACGACGTTCCCTAGGTAAACATTGTTTGTTGATACGGATCTTACACATTTTCGTTACACTTTTTTGCCGAATAACCATTTCCTATAGACGTAATTACGTCGAAAAGAAAAGAAACGAAGATTTGCAGGGGTAGGGTTGGACTTAGAACATTTGGCCTCTGAAGAGGGACGTAATGAACTAAAACATCAGAACTATTTAACAAATAAAGAAAATCGAAGGAAGACTTACATTTAGAAACGTAGAAAATCTTAATCAATAATAACAGAAATGCAAAGAAAGTTACAGTGGAACCACGGTTCCGGAGAATTTGACACAAATATGTCTATACGGTAAGAAGTTTACATAGTGACTTTATTCTAAATATTTTCTTTATACACGCTTTACAATTGATTAAAGTTTGAGTAAGACAGTACTGCCTACCTTGAATTAGTTACGCTTAAGATGGGTCTGTGGTAGCTGAAATATGTTATAAAATTTGTACATTTTACAGTTTCAAAATATCGTGCTAACACCATATCTATACAAGATTTTGATCTAGTAGTACTACATTGAGGATTTGATATCAACATTAATCCAAACGTTTCTTCCATAAATGTGACAAAGCTTTGATTTTCCTCCTTCATAAAACAAAATCTCCTGTCAATATTATCGGCACTGTATTAGGATTTTCTGTGTCTCAAATGACTCAAAATAAGTATCTTACAATCATCAATAGGTGTATGGTTACAAATATACAGGGTTACAATTAAAACTTTTTCACCATTAACCATACACTCTGGATCTCGTTATTTAATACTTCTATTTTTTAACGTTTTCTGTAATGTCTCATATATTCTGCGTTATGGAGTATTTTAGCTTCAATGTCATACATCTTGTACATAGTATGACGCAACAAACTAACGCAACAATAGATTTCTTAATAATTCTTATATAAGATAAGTACCTGTGATATTGTAAAACGTTTTTACCAGCACAAAAGTATATAGTCTACGACGCACTTTTTATACAAGCGTTACACAGCTCAGCTCTTTCCGGAATAACGAAAGCGGGTTGTTGACGGCAGTAATGTAACACTACAATGCAGAGTAAACAGATGACGTTTCCTAGGTAACATAACAGTGCATACAAGCTGACCATTGTTGTCAGTCCATATTTACAAATTGTTGATAGTATTTCCTAGGTAACCATGTTACACATTTTCCTGTCACTTTTTCGTTACACTTTTTCGTAACACTTTTTTGCGGAATAACCCTTCAATATAGACGTATTTACGTCAAAAAACAAACGAAGATATGCAAGGGTAGGGTTGATTGACCAAGAACAGTTGGCCCCTGAACAGTGACGTAAAGAACTAAAACATCAGACCTATTTAACAAATAAGGGAAAGCAAAGGAAGACACATTGAAAAACGTAGAAAAACTTATTCAACAAGAACATAAGAGCAAAAAAAGAACACGCTGAAAAACGAAATATCAAAAATCAACAGAAACCGATAGACGAAAAACGCGAAATTAAAGAGAAAGAAGGACTCTAAGGAAAGCGCTCCGAAAGAAGCGAGTTGCTCTAGTAAAAAATAATGTTATGAAGTACATTGTAACTGCAGTTGTGTCATCACTTAATTGTCACAATAAACCGAATTTCATATTGACAGTGGAGAACCAAAAACTTCTTAGTAGAGAATCGATCACAGTGCTACATTGTCTAACACAAATTTCACATGTCCACCATTCATAATGTCACTAATTCTCTTTCTGTATTTTTATAACACTTAAGTAATGACACACTTGCAAATAGTTTTGGTACAGCCTGATATGACAAAAATGGCCAACACATGTGTGTTTATCATCTTTTTTGTTTCAAGCCTGAATAATAAAATATATTTTACTGTATGAAATTAAAATAAACTTCATTAACCAATAATTTTTAAATTTGAAATATGTATATTCGAAAGACACTTCTGATAAATTAATGCGACCAAAATATTATATCACATACTGAGCTTGAATACATCTGAGAAGTTTCACTTCTGCATGTTCATTATGTCTCAGTTGTGAGACTAGATATCGGCATGCAAAAGTATGTGATTAAATTAAGATATATTGCAACTTGTTGATGATTATAAGATAAAAAGATTGTTATGTGGAAACATGGTGATGAAAGTCTTCATTATAGAATGCAGACCAGTCTAATAAAAATTAAAAATCTCTTTGTTAAGAAAAGTTACAGAGGGTCAAATTTTTAACCACCTTAGCAGCCTACTATTAGCTTAATAAAAAGATTGCTCATTGGAGTTCAATATTTTATGCACATCTTCAACAATAATATTCATCTGATTTCCTTAAAATTCTGTATACGCACATTTAAGTGTTTAGAATATGACAAAACAAATTAACTAGAAAGTTCAGACTTACATAAGACAAACACAAATTTTATGCTCTGTCCTAAATAAGATTGCTTTGAAAATTTTGGGAACCCTTAAATAAGTTCTTCAGATGAATAAAACACATATAACCATTGGACAATATTCGTACTCTGTCAATATATTTTATCATATAAAATTCCATTACATTATGTCATAAAGGTGAGATGATGGACGTACAGAAACATTTTTCACATGAGTTCATTATTGTAATTTTATTTATGAAATTCTTGAAAGGGTTTTTTGTTTTCTTGTCATCATCATCGTCAAGGATTAGGCACTAATGCCTATTCAGGCTTCAAATTGATCTTTCCATGTTCTTCGTGGTCGACCTCGATCTCTTTTCCGGCTAGGTTTGTAACTGAATGCAACATTAGGTAGTCTTTCCTCAGGCATCCGTTCAACATGTTCTTTACATTTTCTTCTACATTCTCCAATTTTGTCAATTACATTAAAAATATTAAATTGTTTCCTAATGTCTTCATTTCTTATTCTATCTATTAAGAGATTAATTTAGTTTGCAGGAAAGCGTTTGCTGATAAAACTTTATTATGTGTAGTTCTACTAGGAAATAAAAGTTTGATTGTTTCATAATGTTACTTTCCTGAATTCTGCTGTTTGATATGAAACATTTTGAGTTGTATAAACCTTTCTATATTTTGTTCATACATATATAACAGTAATATTCATACATATAACTGCATTAAAGTCATTAGAAGTTTTCTTGATTACTTCTTCCGTGTAATTCATAACCATTAATATGTCGTCTGATGAAATTAATTAAGCTCTTATCTTTTAGAATGAGAATGCCTTCAGTTGTCAAATCGTTGGCATCTCACAAAAATCCAGCTATCTTATAATAAGTTTATTTTTAATAGTGGAAAAGTTTGCATTAATAAATGTTTAACGTTTCTTTTCATAATTTCCGGATATGCTACAGAAAGTTTTTTCCCCTTGTCTATATCCATGTTTATTGTATATCTGCAGTTCTTATTGTGGTTTGATATTCTGTGAACAAACAAATCTGAGAAACATTGGTCTGTAGCAAAATCAAAACATTCTGCTTATTTTTGCTCCTGAAAATGACATCAATGAGAATTGTTACTTTGTTTGACCTATGCTTTATTGCAGTACAAGTCAAAGTATTTTAAATAAGTCACTTTACATTTCTGTACGCATCACCAGAAGAAGCAGCATATTTCCGTGGATGACCAAATAAATGCGCACATGAAGAAATTCCGCACGAAGATTGCGCACAGAAAAGAACCCACTGTCATAAATGCTCACACGAAAAAATACGAACATAGAATAATTCTCACATTATTTTTAGTTTACAAAAACAAATGTGGCTAACGAGGCAAAAGTAGGTTAGGTTAGGTTAGTATGTATAGTAAGTTTGAA